GATAAAACTGTAGCATTGCCCTGGAAGGAATTGCATACCCTCTGAAGAAAGTGGATCATAGTCTGGGGGTACTCCTAGATTCTCACTGTTCACTGGAGTCCCAAGTTATTTTTGTGGCTAGGAGCCCTTATGCTCAGTTTAGACTGGTTTACCAGCTGCAGCCATACTAAGATAGCCTAGCCTCAGCTGCAGCCGTGGGGAAAGCAGGCACCAGGACAATGGAGGAAAGGAAGGAAGCCTTGGATGCAAGCAGCATATTGGGGAGCAGGTTTCAGCAGGAAAATAATATCAGAGGATGTGAGGAGTGTCAGACCATGACTACCTGGTTCTGAGCTGGGTTTCAGACAGCTACCTGTCCTCCATCACCCTTTTAAGAAAAGAATAGAAAGCCTGAGATGAAATATCATGTGGTAAGTATACAAATAGGTGCATGGTATCACCTTTGTTTCTCTTGCACTTAGTTTTGATCACTTCACCATTATTTTCTGAAATATACTCAGAGTCACAAAGTGATTTCATGCTCTTTATTCAGCTCATAGTGGTGAGGAGGAATGAATGAAAGTCCCCTCAAAGTATCTGCTTTATATACATTATTTACACAATGAGCTGCACGTGATTGGCTAATTCCAGAATTTTACTGTAAGCCAATCAGGTTGTGGATTCACTTCTATCTGGAGCATGATTGGGTGGTTCCTGCCAACCAATCATACTGCTGCATTGTTCTAGGACCAATCAGACTGCTGCATTCTGAATCCTATTGTTCTAGGACCAATCAGACTGCTGCAGTTTGGATCCTATTCAACTCAGTACATAACACCCCTCCCCTCTAAGTTCTGTCCTGCCCGGGAGGTCGCATTCATAGTCCTCAAGGTACGCCGGTGGCCTACGTGTGCGTTGCGGCCTGGGGTGTTCCCTGGTCCAGGGTTCAGGTTCTGGCTCATGTTCCAAGGATGCTGGCTGTGATAGGGCTGTTTGGTCTGGCGCAACCGGCTCGCTCAGTCGTGGTTCTGGTTCCGGTGTCCTTTCGGCCTCACGGGTCCTCTCTGTATTTACTGATTCTGCCTCTCCTGCTGGCCCCTCCTGCTCTATGGGCCTCACTGCCCCACTGTTGCCTTGGGACTCCTCTGACCTGTCCTTCTCCTGGTTTTCTCCCAGGAATCGTCGCCGTATCTGGTCGCAGTGGCAGCGCCAGCATTGCCCCCCATCCGTTAGCACCTCGTACGACATGGGGCCAGTGACCCTGGTGACTGTGGCGGGTACCCATGCTGGGCCTGCCCCAAAATTCTTTGCGTACATTGGGTCCTGGGCCTCGAAAGTCCGGGGGTTCCTGCCTTCCCCCACCACTACCTCATCCTGAGCTCTATCGGGGTGAAGGCGGTCCAATCTGATTGCAAGGCGCCGACCCATTAGTAGTTCAGCAGGGCTCTGGCCAGTCGTTGAGCTGGGGTTGCTGTGCTGTGCTAGAAGGAATGTGGCAAGGCGGTACTCCCAATTCCCTTGCGTCATGCGGCGAAGGGTGTCCTTGGTGGTCTGCACCATGCGTTCTGCTTGGCCAGTGGTGGCAGGGTGGAATGGCGCCGAACGGATGTGGCGGATGGCGTTCTGCGCTGTGAAGGTTTGGAATTCTCCTGAGGTAAATGCAGTCCCGTTGTCTGAGACGAGAGTGTCAGGGAGCCCGTGGGTTGCAAACAGCCTGCGTAGTACCCGGATGGCTGCGGACGTAGAAGTGGACGGTACCAGTGCGACTTCCAGCCATTTGGTGTAGGAGTCCACCACTATGAAGAATGTTTTCCCCTGAAAGGGGCCAGCGAAGTCCACATGCAGGCGTGACCATGGTGCTTGGGCGGACTCCCAGGACTGAACTGGGGCCCTTGGGGGATCTGGGCAGGATTCTTGGCAGGCCTGGCAGTGTTTGACCCAGGCCTCTATCTCTCCGTCGATCCCCGGCCACCACACATAACTCCTGGCAAGGGGCTTCATTCTTACTACCCCTGGGTGTGTCTTGTGTAGGGCTGTGAGGACCCTTTTGCGGAGGGGCTGGGGAACAATGACCCTGCTTCCCCATAACAGGCACCCCTTGTGGGCCGACAGTTCCTGTTTGCAGATTGTGTAGCCGGTGAATTCTGGCCCGGGGCTGCTGCTGGGCCATCCCCTCCACACCCAGTCCAGGACCCGGGAGATGACTCTATCTTTCTTGGAATGGTGTGCAACTTCTTGTGCCTGAATGGGGCGGTCGGGAAGCAGCTCCAGGCTCATAACCTCTTGTGCAGGTGCTGGGTCGGGGCCTGTTTCTGGTAGTGGTAGCCTGCTGAGGGCGTCCGCATGGCCCATCGCCTTCCCAGGGTGGTGAATCAGTGCATACTGGTAGCTGGCAAGGAAAGTTGACCACCTGAGGACGCAAGGAGACAGCACTTGGGGGGTCTGCTTTTCGGGGGCAAACAAGCCAAGCAACGGCTTGTGGTCAGTCACCACAGTGAAGGGCCACCCGTACAAGAAATCATGGATTTTTTTTACTCCCTTCACGATTGCCAGACCCTCCTTGTCGATTTGCGAGTAGTTCCACTCGGTTGCATTGAGTGGGAAAAGTATGCCACCGGTACCTCTCTTCCATCCGGGAGTTGGTGTCCCAGGACAGCGCCAATGCCATAGGGCGAGGCGTCGCATGCTAGCACCACCGGCAGCCTCTCGTCGAAGTGTGCCAAGACTGAGTTTGAGACAAGCAAGTCCTTGACTGCCTGGAATGCGGCCTCCTGGCACTGGCCCCACACCCAAGGGGCCCGCTTGTCCAGGAGTCTGTGTAGGGGCTCCGCTACCGCCGCCTTGTGTGGAAGGAAGGAATGGTAAAAGTTCAATAGTCCCAAAAAGGCCTGAAGTTCAGTCTTGCTCTTGGGCGCTGGGGCATCACAAATGGCCCGTACCTTCTCCCCAGTCAGGTGGACCCCTTTTGCGTCCACCATAAATCCCAGAAAGTCCACCTGAGGCACTCCTAGTAGACATTTTTCCCGCTTCACCTTGAGACCCGCCGTCTGGAAACGGTGCAGAACGGTGCGGAGGCAGTCCTCAAACTCCTCTGGTGTGGGCCCGGCAATCAACACATCATCGAAGAAGGGGGTGACGCCAGGAATCCCTTTAAGGAGAGAGTCCATTAGATTCTGGAATATGCCTGGTGCCACACTGACACCGAATTGCAGACGCTTTACCCTGAACGCTCCTCTGTGCGTCACAATCGTCTGTGCCTCTGCTGTGGCCTCATCTACTGGCAGCTGTTGATATGCTTGGGCCAAGTCCAGCTAGCCAAAATTTTTCGACCCAGCCAGGGTGGCAAGGACATGGCTGACCACTGGCACTGGGTATGCATGGGCCGTGAGGGCCTTGTTTATGGTACATTTGTAATCTGCGCAGATGCGGACCGAACCATTAGGCTTGACGGGTGTGACGATTGGGGTTTCCCAAGGGGCATTAGGCACCGGCTCCAGCACTCCTTGCTCCACGAGCTGGTCCAATTCCTCGTCTATATGGGGATTCAGGACGAATGGGACCCGGCGGGCCTTGAGCCTGACCGTTCGTACTGCGGGATCAAGCTGTAAAGCAATGGGGGGACCCATATACTGTCCCAATTTCCCATCGAAAACCCCCGGAAATTCCTTGCATATGGCGTCCATGTCCACTTGTAAGCTAGTGTGGTTCACCCCGGTGACGGCTAGCCCCAGTGGTCCAAACCATGCCAATCCCAGTAAGCTAATGTAGGGGCCCTTGACTACAAGCAAGTCCAGTTGCCGCGGCAGCCCTCGGTATTGCACCCTGATGTTGGGTTGAAATAACGACAGACGAGTAGCAAGTGTCATGTGAGAGGCATCTCTCGAGCAAGTCCCGAGGAGACTCTTTTATTGAATATTACTACATTGCCACAGGTGCGCTCGTTGCTGATTGGGTGACACAAACACAAAGCAACTTGTTGCTGATTGGTTAACACAAGTACAAAGCAAATGTTACATATAGGCATTAATCACCAATAGATTAAAGGCTGGGAAAGGGAGCACAGAACTAGACAGGCATGAAACCTCCTAATTAAATTATAACTAGTGATTGATATAGCAAGACTAAAACAATTACTAATGATCGATCATGACATGAAAGAATATAATAATCGCGTTCCGTAGATGTGGTCAACTATGCATTAAGAACAGGTCAGAGTATAATGTTTTCATGAACTTAATATGAACTGAACATCCTAGGGAGATGAGGGAATGTCTTGGTATTTAGAACGGGTTGTGCAACATGTGCAGAAGCAGAGAAAAGCTTAGAAGCAAGACTTCCCATCATGCCAGAGAAAAGCTTAGAAGCAAGACTTCCCATCATGCCACAGTCATGTGCAGAAGCAGAGCTTCCCTTCATCTCCCCCTTTCTTTTCTTGTTTGCGAGGTGTTCTGGGTGAATAAGACAAAAATACTTCGGGATACGTGGTATGCCAGCGCATGCCCGAAATAAGTCTGTCCACATCTCCCCTAATGTTTACTGTTGGTGCTGCCATTTCGCAAAGTAGGCAGCAATGATTTTATTGGGTGGCTGAGGGGGAGATAGAAGCCGAGACAAAATACTTATGAGTCCAGGAATGCATTGGAGGAAGCAACATAGCAAAATTAATATACATATTATGACAATGGCATATTGAAAGAGATTACGAAGCCAATTCAGGTTTGGCAACCAAGCGGTAAGCCACTGGGTGAAAGAATCCCAGAGGCAAGAAAATCCAACGTCCTGTTTAATGTGGTGTGTAAGATTTTGCAAATGAGAGATTTGGCTTTGAATGGCTTTAGAATTATCAGTAATATTGAAACAACACATGTCAGCCACTTGTTCACAGCCATAATGATGAAGCATCAATAAATAATCGATAGCAGCGCGGTTTTGCAGAAGTCCATGGTGGAGTTCACTCTGTTCTTTATTCAAAAGGTGAAGAGCTTGAGAAGTATAATTCAGGGCTTTTGCTGCAGAACAAGCTAAAGAGTTAATGTTCCTACTATTGCGTACAGCCAATCCAGGGACTCCTGGAGAGAAACAGCTAAAGAGATATATTCAGACCTACTGGGAAGAGAAATTGAATCGTCACAATCGTTAGTCAATTCAATAGAGCGGCGATATCGAGAGCGGGTCAAATGATGCTTTTTGGGTAATACGATGGACAAACGGCTTAAGCAACAGGGTGTTCCATGGCTGATGTATTGTTGGCACATGGTAGGGGAATTCAACATTCCTTGCGGTAGGACTTTCCATTGATACCGTCCCGTGGGCTGGCTGTTATTTAACACAGGAACAGTGAAAGCAAAGAATTTACGATCCTTCTCCTGTAGGGGGATGGAGAAGAAACAATCTTGCAAATCTATGATAGCCAATTGATAAGAATGTGGGATCACATTTTGATTAGGCATCATCAAAGGCCCCATGGGTTCAAGGATTTCATTAATTTTCCTTAAATCCTGGAGAAATCTCCATTTTCCACTCTTCTTTTTTATGACGAAGATGGGAGTGTTATAGGGGCTAACTGAGGACTCGATATGGTCAGCCGATAATTGTTGATTCACCAATCCTTTTAAAGCAAGTAGCTTTTCCCCCGTTATGGGCCATTGTTCTACCCATACCGGGTTGGTTGATTTCCAGTTGAGGGGGAGTGCAAGCTTACTCATTAAATTGAATGGTAGCTTGTAATTGTTGTAGTAAGTCTCTGCCCCACAGATTGAGGTGGATTTTTAACACACAGGGCTGGATATATGCAATGGTTTCAGAGCTATCAGGCAGAGAAACAGGCAGCCACTGTACGCTTTTGGAAGAGGTTTGAGGTCCACCTACACCCCAAACTGCAGAGGCAGACTCAAGGGGCCACGTGGGGTCCCAGCAACTACTGGAAATTACAGAAATGTCCGCGCCCGTGTCAATCAAGCCTTCCAGAACCTTGCCATTAATTTTATACTTACGAAGAAGCTTCTGTTCACCAATCCGCTGGATTACAGCTAAGAGCTGTGGGGGAAAAGGAGAGAGCTCGTGCAAATTACTATCCATAATAGAAGCAGTAGGGTGAGAAGGGAGCACCACCAAATGCGCCCAGGACTCACCCTTTTTAACTGCATGGGCATATGGCTCCAAAGTTGAACCATTATTGTGCCCACATAGTCAGGATCCAGAACTCCTGGAATAACCTGGATTCCTTCTTTGGCCGCAGAAAATTTGGGTAAAATTAAGCCTGCAACTTTAGGAGGTAGTGGGCCTGCCAATTGGGTGGGCATAAGCACAATTTCACCAGGTAAAACAGTGTCTTTGGTCTCTTGATTGATCAAATCAATGGCAAATTCAGAGGGTGTATTTTTAGAAAATTTTTCAGCAGCGGAAACTAAAGGCGGAAAGCTCTCTATTTGTCCTGGCCCGAGAGTGGGGCCGCTATGGAGTTTCCCGGACTCCTGCATTGATTAGCCCAATGATAGCCTTTCCCGCATTTCTGGCATTTTTTGGAAGGTTTAGCCTTGATGGCATCACCATTCCTGTTTGCCCCCCTGCCAGGGGCTCTGCATTGTTTAGCGAAATGGCCTGGGCGTTTGCAATTGAAGCAGTTGCCAGTAGGCTTATTGCTAGCCTGGATTGCGCCGGCAAGCAAAGACATCACATGGCTCTGGCTACCAACATCCGCACAAGCTTGAATCATATCGGCCAGGTCATATTTAGGGCGATGTATGATTGACTGCAACGCTTTCTTGCAATCGGTGTTTGCATTTTCAAAAGCCAATTTTTTCATCAATTCATTTTGAGCTGTAGTGTTATCAATCTGCCTAGTGACTGATTCTTTCAATCTATCTATAAACTGGTGGTAGGGCTCCGAATGCTGTTGCCTAATATTAACAAAGGAGCTCAACGGTTGCCCTGAGACAGGGACTTTCCGAAAGGCGCGTTGTACACAGGTCGTGGTGCGACTAAAATGTAAAGGTGTCAGTGTCGCCTGGGCTGGTATATTATCATATAGACCCGCGCCATAAAGTTGATTGGCTGAATGCTGTGGATCAGACAGGGCTGATGCGCTATGTTTAAATTCACTTTCAAACACCACATACTGAGCCGGGGATAAAAGCATGCGCATCAGATCTTTCCAGTCTTGAGGTAGCATTGTACAACCATTTGCCATTCCCTCTAGCATTCCTATTACATAAGAGGATTTTAGACCAGAATCAGTAATGGCTTTCCTTAATTCTCTCATTACAGAATAAGGAAGCGTCTCATAGAATACCTGCTGTTGAGCAGTTCCTGGGTTTGTATAGGTGATAGGGAAAGCAGATGGCATTTCACCAGCCCATTCAGACTCTTCCTCTAAGGACAGGAGCCCTTTCTGCCTAGCCAGAGAAAGCGCAGCGCGCACAGCTCCTGTAGAGTACGCAGGGGCTGTGGCAGGCGAAGGAGGGATGGGGGGGGACGATGTGGGCTGAGACGATTGAGGCGTAGGGAGGGGTTGGCAGGGTTGCGAAGGAGGCAAAAGCTTTGGGTAAGGTGGGGGATTGTCTGCAACGGCTAAAAGGACAGGGGCCGAAGGAGATGCCTGAGGTCCTAATTTAGCAACGGCATCTGCACATTTCTGCCAAGTGAGCAGACAGTGAATCGGAGCCCTCGGTTCTGCAAAGAGGGTTTTTCCAATCTTTTGCCAAGTTTCTACTTCCAAAGAACCCGTTTCTGGATAGGAAGGGCACTGGCAAGCAATCTCGCATAGCAATCATTCAATAGCTTTTAAAGAAATATGAACACCCACCACCCGCTGTCTAACGAGATGGAGCACCTCCTTGGCATGCTCCCTTTGGAATTTAGTCAATTCCCCCCCCCCCAATACTCATGAAGTAGCGCGCTGAGACTTTTCCAGTTGAGTGAAGTATAGGGGCTGGCTGCGTAAGGGATCTGGCAATCACGTCGGGGTCACCAGATGTTGGGTTGAAATAACGACAGACGAGTAGCAAGTGTCATGTGAGAGGCATCTCTCGAGCAAGTCCCGAGGAGACTCTTTTATTGAATATTACAACACTGCCACAGGTGCGCTTGTTGCTGATTGGTTGACACAAACACAAAGCAACTTGTTGCTGATTGGTTAACACAAGTACAAAGCAAAGGTTACATATAGGCATTAATCACCAATAGATTAAAGGCTGGGAAAGGGAGCACAGAACTAGACAGGCATGAAACCTCCTAATTAAATTATAACTAGTGATTGATATAGCAAGACTAAAACAATTACTAATGATTGATCATAACATGAAAGAATATAACAATCGCGTTCCGTAGATGTGGTCAACTATGCATTAAGAACAGGTCAGAGTATAATGTTTTCATGAACTTAATATGAACTGAACATCCTAGGGAGATGAGGGAATGTCTTGGTATTTAGAACGGGTTGTGCAGCATGTGCAGAAGCAGAGAAAAGCTTAGAAGCAAGACTTCCCATCATGCCAGAGAAAAGCTTAGAAGCAAGACTTCCCATCATGCCACAGTCTTGTGCAGAAGCAGAGCTTCCCTTCACCCTGAAGGTCCCCACCCCCATTGTGGAGACCTTACGTTTCTGGAAGTCCCGGAGGGTGAATGGGGCCAGCCTGAGTTTGGGACCCCCAGTAGGACACAGTTTCCTTAAGGTCCTTGCCGAGATTATGGATAGAGTTGAACCCGTGTCAAGCTCCATGCGGCATGGGGCCCCCTCTATCTGTACCTCTGCATAAATTTTCTCTACGTTGGGATGGGGCAACTGGTATACCTGGAAGTCCGTGAGCTCCGTCGAGTTGCCTTGGTGCGTTGGGCCCTGGGACCTGGGGCTCTTGGATTGGTCATCTGATGCCTGGCGTCGGGTGGGCCGAGCTCGACACACCCGGGCGATGTGTCCCGATTTTCTGCACTGCCTGCACTCTGCATTGCAGAAACGGCAGGTCCTCCTCTCGTGACTTTCCCCGCAGCTTCCGCAGTTCCCTCCTTCTCGTCGAGGCAGCTGTGGTATGTGGGCTGCTTGAGTGAGCTGCTGTACTCGGTGCACCACCTCCCTGTCGGATCCTGAGTCGTCGGTGAGGTCTTTGTGGTGGACCCTCAGTTGGGACGGCAGGCTCGGCCGTGCCTCTTGCGTCGACCTCTCGGCAGCTTCCGTTGCCAGGGCCTCCTCCAGAGCGACTGGAACGTTAGGTCCAGTGTGGAGAGCCAGTGTGGTGTAGTGGTTAAGAGCGGTAGTCACGTAATCTGGGGAACCGGGTTCGCTTCTCCGCTCCTCCACATGCAGCTGCTGGGTGACCTTGGGCCAGTCACGCTTCTCTGAAGTCTCTCAGCCCCACTCACCTCACAGAGTGTTTGTTGTGGGGGAGAAAGGGAAAGGAGAATGTTAGCCGCTTTGAGACTCCTGAAGGGGAGTGAAAGGCGGGATATCAAATCCAAACTCTTCTTCTTCTTCTTCTTCTTCTTCTTCTTCTTCTTCTTCTTAGCGTAGAGGCGTCGTTGCAGGTTCTCATCCTTCAGGCCACCGACGAGGCGGTCACGAAGCATGTTCTCCAGCTCTGAGTAGTTGCAGAATCGGGCGGCTTGGCGGAGAAAGGTCACAAACCCAGTTATGGTTTCCCCAGGGGCTTGCCGCTTTGCATAGAAGGCATTTCGACGAGCCACCACTGAGGGCTGCGGCGAAAAGTGCCCCTTCAGCTGTTCCATTATTGTTTTGTATGGAACAGTAGCGACGTCTTCAGGCGCAAGGAGAGCCCGGGCGATTTCAAATGTCTCCTCTCCACATACGCTGAAGAATATCGCCCTGTTCTTGGCCTCTTCTTCGTCGGTGACCCCTTTGGTTTCTAGGAGGAAGGTGAAACGGGAGGCGTACGCTTCCCAGTCTCCAGATGCTGGGTTGAACGGCGAGAAGCTGCTGTCGGTTGCCATTCTGAGTTCCTTGTGTCCCGGAGCTGAAGCCTGGATACACGGTGCGAGGCAGCGGTGCGGCAGGTGGCGGTGCGGCGGTGCTGTGTGTGGCAGTCAGCTCAGCGGGATCCCATCCTCGTCGCCAGTGAAATATACTCAGAGTCGCAAAGTGATTTCATGCTCTTTATTCAGCTCATAGTGGTGAGGAGGAATGAATGAAAGTCCCCTCAAAGTATCTGCTTTATATACATTATTTACACAATGGGCTGCATGTGATTGGCTAATTCCGGAATTCTACTGTAAGCCAATCAGGTTGTGGATTCACTTCTATCTGGAGCATGATTGGGTGGTTCCTGCCAACCAATCATACTGCTGCATTGTTCTAGGACCAATCAGACTGCTGCATTCTGAATCCTATTGTTCTAGGACCAATCAGACTGCTGCATTTTGGATCCTATTGTTCTAGGACCAATCAGACTGCTGCAGTTTGGATCCTATTCAACTCAGTACATAACATTTTCTTTTAAAACTCAGAATTTATTCCTTGTGTCTTAAGTCTCCAGTTGTGCTCACCAGTGATGGCCTCCTGGCCTTTTTCTGGCATCTTGCAAAAGACTTACAAATCCCAGTAGTTACATGTGCCTAATACACATACATTTGAAGTCACCTTTCAGTTAGGTTTGCATTCACTAGCCCCAACAGATTTCTCTGAAATGGTACAAAAACATTAGAAACGACACAGACATTTATGACCAGGGTACACATATCATTTGATAATGCACAGACTCAAAAGAAACTAGGAACATCTGTTTTAGAATACCTGAATGCAGTTGGTTTTTCTATAAGTGTCACTGCAACCACCACTGTGAGTTAGCTTGTGTTGGTTCAGTGGGTTGATTCATGGAAGTGCTGAGCACATATTCCTAATTCACGAAACCCAATACACATCCATTCAAAGTACACTGCAAGCCATTTTGAGGGACTGGGTGAATCTGCCTTTTTGTTTGTTTTTGTTTAAATAAACATATAGTTTTGGGGTTTCAGATTTTGTTTTTGTTTTTTTAAGGAAAAGGTTCCAATGCTCGCTCAATACAAGAGGGGATTTTGTAAAGCTGATCTTTCCACTCTTGTCCTCCCTCTCCCAACCCCCTCCTTTCAGATCAATAGAAAGTTCCTTTTTCCAGTCCATAAATATATTCACCAACCAGTATGTCTCTTTAGTTCTTCTTATCCCTTCAACATATGTCTTGACATTTGAAAAGTCTGCTTGGCAGGTGAAGAAATAAAGAAAGAAAGATCCTTTGTTATTGTTCAGTGAGATTTTTGTTCCCTACTCTGTCTGCCAGACAGCCCAGAAACTAAGCTATTCTTCAAGACATGTTCACTGCTGGACAGTAGCTTGGTGACAATGGGCAGCGCAGCAGCAACTGAAGTGATAGGAGAACCATCTGACTCAGATTTTTTTCCAATGAATCAAGGTCTACAAGCTTTAGATCTGCAGGAGCGGCTGTGGCCAATTTCTCTTCTGTGCTTTCCCTTTATTTCATTATTTCTGACA